TGAGCTCGCACCCGCCCAACAGCAAATATTTACAACGCTATGTTCAGCAACGCCGTACAGGATGTGTGTAATAACTGTTGAGCTGGTCATGGACATTGCCGACTGCCTAGCCCGATCGACGTCAAACATCACATGACTGCTGCATTATGTGTAGTACGTATTGTACAAGAGTTTTAAGACAGCTCATCCAAGTCGTCCCATTGACTCTTGCAGTCCGGCGTTCCATCCGTGCGGCATGCCACATTCTGGTGTCAATATAGGCTGTCGCCTGCGAAGATAAACCTTCTGCGAGGAGTAAAAATTGGTCTTTTCATAATAAAAATTGAGAAGGCAAGAGCAAAGACCATGGCCAGCGCAGGAAGCGGCGGAAACTCTCTGCGCATTGTCGTTGGTCTTGATTTTTTTTCGATTTGTGAGAACAACTTCAACTTACAAAAAGGTACATTTTACTGAATCAATGAGCTTAGTACATGCTGGTTGCATACTTACGTGTTTCACAGTTCTTGCCTGTATATCCAGCAGGACATATACACGCATAGTCATTCAGCAAGTCCACACAGGTACCACGGATACAAGGACTTGAGTCGCATGGCTTTGGAGGCTCTTCAGCTGCAAGAAGGGAATAAAATAGTGCAAGTTGACTTCCCCTATCCGGTGCTCTTTTATCTGGTTTCTCTGGCAGCAGGTGGATAATCTATCACATTTCCATTGGATTGGCAGCAAACACGCGCCACCTAGTGCAGCACACTTTCTCAGTTTACTGTAAAAGATGACATAAAAAAGGTAGATTTTATTTTTTCCACTTTATAGCGAGCACAAAGTTTAGCAATTTCTGCCCTCACCCACATGTATTCAATTTCTCACCAGCAGACAGAATGAACAGTTTTAAGTAATGTTTCTTCAACTCATACAGTATCATGCTCCCATCGTGTATCAAGGGGGGGGGGGGCTTACTGTCTTTTAAAAAGTACAGACTGGTTGCATACTTACGTGTGTCACAGTTCTTGCCTGTAAATCCAGCAGGACAAATACACGCGTAGTCATTCAGCAAGTCCACACAGGTACCACGGACACAAGGACCTGAGTCGCACGGCTTTGGAGGCTCTTCAGCTGCAAGAAGGGAATTAAATAGTGCAAGTTGACCTCCCGGGATCCCTTATTCAGTGCTCTTTTATCTGGTTGCTCTGGCAGCAAGAAGACAATCTATCACAATGGATTGGCAACAAACACGCGCCAGCCAGTGCAGCACGTTTTCTTTTACTGTAAGAGATGAACATTTTTTAATTTTTAAAAGATTGATTTTATTTTTTTCCACTTTAATGGCGAGCACAAAGTTCAGCAATTTTGGCCCTCACCCACCTGTATTCGATATCTCTACAGCAGGCAGAATGAACAGTTTTAAGTAATTTTTCTTCAACTCTTACGGTATCAGGTGTCCCGTCACTTCGGAGCGTGACGTCTCGTCGCGCGACATTTCGAAGCGGTCATTTCGAAGACAGTCAGTTAGGAACCGGGGGACACTTCGGAGTGTGTCAAATTCGGCGCCAGACGATTCGACGAGAACCAGTTCGGAGAATGGCCACGACATCGCCTGTTCATTTCGTCGTCACACCCGCTTTTGCTGGGAGAAAAATCGCACTTCTTTTCGCCTGTTGATTTCACGACTCCCTGGTTTGAACTTTTCGCCTGTTCATTTCACGACTCCCTGGTTATAACTCTACACCTCCTATACGGTGTTCATACATGCCTTCAACTTTAGTCTCCCTCTCTCTCTCTCTCTCTCTCTCTCTCTCTCTCTCTCTCTCTCTCTCTCTCTCTCTCTCTCTCTCTCTCTCTCTCTCTCTCTCTCTCTCTCTCTCTCTCTCACACTGGTGTTTGGTTTACATGCCTTCTTACTTAAAGGGGCACTCCGGGAATATTTTTGGTGGTGTGTTGCCCCCAGGGAATGGGGAATCGCGAAAACTAGACCCAAAAAGTCGATATATGAAGCTAGGGAGGGCCAAGTTTGTCTCCTCTTTTGATGGTTTTGATGACGTCACGTGTGATTAGTATTCAAATTCTCTGCATTTGAAGATCTTAGTTGTTTGAATTTTCTGGCGATGAAGAACGATGTTTGGTCGACATTCCCAAGCTTTACAACTGCGGAGATACTCTAAGGAACCTGAAGGACCCCCTGAGTAGCCCCTGGTAGAAGCGCAGCCTGACGAGGGCCAGGAGATTGGAGCGGACGACTTCACTGGTCCGAGTACGAGGATCCCGAAATTCTCTATACGCCGTGAGGCATATGGTCAATTTAGACAAGCTGATGTGAAGTCGGGGTGATGTGTAACGCATGTCAAAGGGCTGCCAATGCTAACAGCTGCAGCGCTCTCTCGACAGCGAAGGTAATCGACTGCCCTCTGCATCACCCCACATTTCTGGCAGGAACACCAATCGTTATTTCCTTTGTCGACCAGTGAAGTCGTCCGCTCCAATTTCCTAGCCCTCATCAGGCTGCGCTTCTACCAGGGGCACCTCAGGAAGTCCTTCAGGTTCCTTAGAGTATGGTCGCAGTTGTGAAGCTTGGAAATGTTGACCAAACATCGTTCTTCATCACCAGAAAATTCAAACAACTAAGATCTTCAAATGCAGAGAATTGGAATACTAATCACACATGACGTCATCAAAACCATCAAAAGAGGAGACAAACTTGGCCCTCCCTAGCTTCATATATCGACTTTTTGGGTCTAGTTTTCGCGATTCCCCATTCCTTGGGGGCCATATAAGGCCCCCATGAAGAGAACACACCACCGAAAATATTCCCGGAGTGCCCCTTTAACAGCTTCTTCTAGATACTGACACTGAGACTAGCACTCTCTCTCTCTCTCTCTCTCTCTCTCTCTCTCTCTCTCTCTCTCTCTCTCTCTCTCTCTCTCTCTCTCTCTCTCTCTCTCTCTCTCTCTCTCTCTCTCTCTTCGCCGAAAGTGGAACTGCAACTCCCCGTGATACAGAACTGCCATTGTTATAATAATTTGGTTTGACTGTGAGTCTGTCACTGCATTGATGTACAAAATACCTATACAATACTACACTATACTGTATTGTACTTTGAAGCAGTCGGTCTGTAGCTGTTCAGCTGTGGGAACATTGCAATGGCGCTTCGAAACGTCGGGGGTCCGAACATCCCGGGTCCCAGTTCACGTGCGATGAATTGTCGTGGCAGCGAAGTGACGGGTTTCGAAATGTGTCCGCGACGAGACGGTTCTCGACGATATGACCTCTTCGAACTGACGCTCGTCGAAATGTCCCGCTCCTAAGTGACGTAGAACCTCATGCTCCCATCGTGGTATCAAGGGAGGACCTTACTATCTTTTCAAAGTACAGGCTGGTTGCATACTTACGTGTGTCACAGTTCTTGCCTGTAAATCCAGCAGGACAAATACACATGTAGTCATTCAGCAAGTCCACACAGGTACCACGGGCACAAGGACCTGAGTCGCACGGCTTTGGAGGCTCTTCAGCTGCAAGAAGGGAATAAAATAGTGCAAGATGACTTCCCTTATCCGGTGCTCTTTTATCTGGTTGATCTGGCAACAGGTGGATAATCTACTTCGAGTATCACATTGCCATTGGATTGGCAACAAACACCCGCCATCTAGTGCAGCACACTTTCTTTTACTGTAAGAGATGACATTAAAAAAAAATTAAAGATGGATTTTAATTTTTCACTTTGTAGCGAGCACAAAGTTTAGCAATTTCTGCCCTCACCCACATGTATTCAATTTCTCACCAGCAGACAGAATGAACAGTTTTAAGTAATGTTTCTTCAACTCTTACGGTATCATGCTCCCATCGTGTATCAAGGGGGGGGGGGGCTTACTATCTTTTAAAAAGTACAGGCTGGTTGCATACTTACGTGTGTCACAGTTCTTGCCTGTAAATCCAGCAGGACAAATACACGCGTAGTCATTCAGCAAGTCCACACAGGTACCACGGACACAAGGACCTGAGTCGCACGGCTTTGGAGGCTCTTCAGCTGCAAGAAGGGAATAAAATAGGGCAAGTTGACCTCCCGGGATCCCTTATTCAGTGCTCTTTTATCTGGTTGCTCTGCCAGCAAGAAGACAATCTATCACAATGGATTGGCAACAAACACGTGCCAACCAGTGCAGCACGTTTTCTTTTACTGTAAGAGATGAACATTTTTTAATTTTTAAAAGATTGATTTTATTTTTTTCCACTTTAATGGCGAGCACAAAGTTCAGCAATTTCTGCCCTCACCCACCTGTATTCGATATCTCTACAGCAGGCAGAATGAACAGTTTTAAGTAATGTTTCTTCAACTCATACAGTATCATGCTCCCATCGTGTATCAAGGGGGGGGGGGGCTTACTATCTTTTAAAAAGTACAGACTGGTTGCATACTTACGTGTGTCACAGTTCTTGCCTGTAAATCCAGCAGGACATATACACATGTAGTCATTCAGCAAGTCCACACAGGTACCACGGGCACAAGGACCTGAGTCGCACGGCTTTGGAGGCTCTTCAGCTGCAAGAATAAAATAGAACAACTGACCTTGCTTATTCACGCCTCCTTTATTTGGTTGCCCTTCCAACAGGGAATATCTTGCGGAACGAATTTGCAATCAACATCCGGCCGCCAGTGTAGCATGTTTTCATAAATTTCATTTACTGACTAGTCCCTCATCTCCCCGGTTTTTTTTGTGGCCGAAACAGGCTTGTTTTGTAGCCGAAACAGGCTTGCACAAGTAACGAGAAACTGTAGGGACTGAATCAACACTTTCGTCCTTGTGGTTTTCTGTGCGGTGAGTCAAACGATGTTGGTTAGGAGGAAGCTATGGCACTCCATTTGTCCTATGTCACCAATCAAATTCGCGAGCCTCTGCCGAAATGGGAAGCGTGTTCCCCAGTACAAATGTTCTATAGTGGAATTCGAGCGGACAGTTTCACTTGGAACGCTACTTCCTGCTTTATAAAGGTAATTAGAGGCCACATGCCACGTACTGCTCTTTTCTCTCCGAAACTCAACACTTGCAAGCCAGATATGAAAGAAAGAAAAATCATCAGTCACACCACCGGGACTCGAACCAGGGACCTTGCTATTCGCAAGCAATGCTCTAGCCAACTGAGCTACAGTATGACTCTTATCCACAGTGATGGTAAATCTTTCCTTCTTCGATCAATCCATATCTGGCTTGCATCACACTGGCAACTCACACCAATCAAGAGGGCCCTCGGCCATTCGCTTGATATCATGGGGAGCGCATCAAACTATGTCCACTGCGAGCAAATACAAATTGCAATTTCAAATTTGGACTTCAAGGAGAATTTCAAAGTTTTAGGAAATTAGAGGCCACATGCCACGTACTGCTCTTTTCTCTCCGAAACTCAACACTTGCAAGCCAGATATGAAAGAAAAGAAAAAAGAAAAGAGCAGTACGTGGCATGTAGCCTCTAATTTCCTAAAACTTTGAAATTCTCCGTGAAGTCCAAATTTGAAATTGCAATTTGTATTTGCTCGCAGTGGACATAGTTTGATGCGCTCCCCATGATATCAAGCGAATGGCCGAGGGCCCTCTTGATTGGTGTGAGTTGCTAGTATGATGCAAGCCAGATACGGATTGATCGAAGAAGGATAGATTTACCATCACTGTGGATAAGAGTCATACTGTAGCTCAGTTGGTTAGAGCATTGCTCGCGAATAGCAAGGTCCCTGGTTCGAGTCCCGGTGGTGTGACTGATGATTTTTTTTCTTTCTTTTAGGCCATCATTTTTTATATCTATGTTTCGCGTCAGTTCAACTTCCAGAATCATATGCGAGAGGTGGAAAAAAATAAAAAGTTGCAAAAAAAAAAAAAAAGGCTCATCAGAGGTGTATGCACTGTACATAGCACAATAGCTCGTGCATGGTGTACATTCGAAAGAAAATCGTACATCGAAGCACAACATCTGGGTTATCAGAATGAGTAAATATTCACATTGGACAGAGGAGGCAACCGTTGGTCATGGTGCCTATGCTTCGCTGGAATATTGTACTCAGACTTCAGCAGCGGTGCAAAGAGCTCCGGAACGACGCATCCTCTCAGCATAGGCGATCAATGCGGTCTGGTGTAAGCTCATAGAATATTGCTCCCATATGCCGAACAAACGATTTACCAACGCTGGCCTAGGCTAGAGACCATTTCTGAATCCCAGCTTCGCCGTATGCAACCTGTCCACACTGATGACTCGCACGATCGTACCCTCACTGTGCATGTTTGATTTTTTATTTTTTTCCGAAAAAAATCAAAACGTATGCGTGCGGACATAGCTATAAAAAATGATGGCCTTATATCTGGCTTGCAAGTGTTGAGTTTCGGAGAGAAAAGAGCAGTACGTGGCATGTGGCCTCTAATTTCCTAAAACTTTGAAATTCTCCGTCAAGTCCAAATTTGAAATTGCAACTTATAAAGGTAAGGAAGAATACTAGTGAAGCTTTCATACTCTGTTGTCTTCAGGACATCGAGACAGATCGGTTTGGTCCAAGGAGGCAGCAATACATCATTTCAACCCTTACTTCCAATCAGTTGCTGATCAGCTCATGATCAGCTGGTGATGTACTTGTAAGCTACATACGACACCTGTAAAAAGATCACTTTACCGATCCAAGAGGCAATTGTGCAAAAAACATGGTAGAACTGAGTTTTGGTTATTACACTTTACCAGAACAAAATTGCACTTCGAGTGTATTATAGAAACCCACAGGGCTATAACAGGTGAAGTCTGAGTAAATTAAAGAAAGAGAAGCAGGAAGTATGCATATTGTAGTAGTGCAGAACATTATGAGTACAGTGGTGCTGGTTGCATACTTACGTGTGTCACAGTTCTTGCCTGTAAATCCAGCAGGACAAATACACGCGTAGTCATTCAGCAAGTCCACACAGGTACCACGGACACAAGGACCTGAGTCGCACGGCTTTGGAGGTTCAGCTGCAAGAAGGGAATAGAACAATGCAAGTTGACCTCCCTTATCCTGTGCTCTTTTATCTGGTTGCTCTGGCAGCAGGTGGATAATCTATCACACTACCATTGGATTGGCAACAAACACGTACAGCCAGTGCAGCATGCTTTCTTTTACTGTAAGAGATGAAAAAATAAAAAAAAATAAAAGATGGATTTCATTGTTTCCACTTGATTGCGAGCACAAAGTTTAGCAATTTCTGCCATCACCCACATGTATTCAGTTTCTCTAAGGCGAACAGAATTAACAGCTTTAGGTTATGTTTCGTCAACTCTTACAGTACATATCATGTTCCCATCGTGTATCAAGGAAGGGCCTTACAATCTTAAGTACAGGCTGGTTGCATACTTACGTGTGTCACAGTTCTTGCCTGTAAATCCAGCAGGACATATACACATGTAGTCATTCAGCAAGTCCACACAGGTACCACGGACACAAGGATCTGAGTCGCATGGCCTTGGAGGCTGTTCAGCTGCAAGAAGAGAATCAAACAATGCAACTTGACCTCGTTCATTCAGTGGTCTTTACCCGGGTGCCCTGGCAACATGCGGATACTAGTAATCTATCACATTGGATTGGCAACAAATATGCGCCAGCCAGTGTAGCACGTTTTCTTTTTCCTGTAAGAGACGAAAGTTTTTATTTTTTTTACAAAGTTTGATTTTTTCTACTTAGCAACACACACAAACAAAGTTTTGCGATTTATGCCATTATCAACGCGTATTCTATTCTCTACAGCGGACAGAATGAACAGTTTTAAAAGTAATGTTTCGTCAACTCATACAGTACATATCATGCTCCCATCGTGTATCAAGGGAGGGCCTTACTATCTTTTCAAAGTACAGGCTGGTTGCATACTTACGTGTGTCACAGTTCTTGCCTGTAAATCCAGCAGGACATATACACATGTAGTCATTCAGCAAGTCCACACAGGTACCACGGACACAAGGACCTGAGTCGCACAGCTTTGGAACTAGAAACCAAACACAAGAAGAGAATAGAACCGGCAATACATAACACTGTTTCAGGGCTGCTGGGGCTCATGTCATGTCACATAATGCATATTTTTGTTAATGGTATATGAACGTCGAGTAGGTACAGTAAGGTGCCTTACATATACCAGGGCATCGGAAGTAGGACGGACAGTGTTGGCGATGTCATATTTTAGGTAATTGTTGTGGTGAGAAGGTAGGTTACCATCGCATTCCTCACCAACATGCAATATCCTGATACAAGAAGACCCTGTCATGGTAAGGGTCTGCGACGGATTGCCAAAACTAATTCACCAAAATGACAGCTCACGTGGCAACACTAAATTATTTTGAACGACCCTTCACGTGACGTTCCACAGACAAGCACGCTGCACCGAAAAGATTATTCACCCAAACCATGTTTACAGACAGCCTCCTAAAACAGAAAGACAATTTTCTCACAGCAGTATCTCTGACCGAATAATCGGTTCACTGAATACAATCCCAACAGGTGTAGTCCCCCCGCACTGCCATCACATCAGAATAATCTGTGTGTTTCATGCCACATGTGTAAATGGAATACTGCGATGGAAGGTCATATTACTGATGACCGCTGAACCTGAACAATGTTCAACGGCGCGCATTAGTTATAAAGAAAGCAAATGGCACTTACTTCGGATGCATATCGGCGGATCTACAGACCATCTGCCGTCCACTTGACAAGTGGCTTCCACCTCTCCCTCAAGGCGATATCCCTGTGAGCATTCATACCGGACTCTACTTCCAATGGTGTATGTTCTCCGCCCAGTCAGTATGATACCATTGTCGATCAGTTGAGGAGGAGGACATTGGATTGCTGCAGTAGTAGAAGATTGGAGAAATGGCTGGGGGTAATCAAACAGTAATACTTATCATACACCATCTTTAATACTTGATGCGTACATGATGGCCCTCCCGTCATGCAATAACCTATAATTAGAACAACAACCCGAAGAAAAGGAACTGGAAGAGAGTGTGCTTATCAAAAGATGTCCTACATGCAGTATGCCTTACGGATGCAGACTGGTGCTTCAGGAGACCAATCAAATGTTGTGTCACGACAGTTTAGAAGATCTTCACCTTCCAGCACAAAACCTGCATTACAAATGTATGTTGCCTGTATGCACAGACACAGGGTACGAAATACACATTCATCCAATGTGTAATGCACAACAAGACAAAGAACAAGAAGATACCACAAGTCTGATAATTATGTAATGTGTTTCAGCTTTTCTAATGTGTGGCCTCTGGCACACTGTAAGACCACTTTCACCGACGAACATTTTAATTAGACCATTGCATTTTGAATCTGCTATCTGTATTATCTGTAAACACGATGTACATACAGTCGCTTGCTGGTTTTGACAATCAGAATTCTAAGAATTCCAAATGGCGTTAAACTAATGTGGTTTCACAGTGCCTTGCGACCCTCATCGGTCTCTAGCACACTTGAAAATGGCTACGGGATGCATGCAACTTTGACATCGTCACCAAATTCCTACTTGTACTAAGACCTTGGAGGAAATCAACACTAATGCCTGTAATTGAACACTGGGCTTCTCTCTACACTGGACTTGCACTGCAGCCTGCTCCTCTACCTTAACCCCCCCTGTCTTCTTAAAGCTCACCGTATCTCCTGCATTATATCCTGTCCATGTTCTAGTACCGTTTGCTATGGTTGGTGGGTCAAAGCACTGGTTTCCTGTCGGACACGGTAAAACAAACAAAGCGAAATAACAGCGTTACTTATAAACTTAGTAGACATTCAGTGCCATTCAGCTCCACATTCAAGTTTCCACAGCGGCTTCATAGATTCACAGCTCACTGCAGCGATGAAAGCGAAGAACTCCACATTGTCGGAAGCGAAGAGCTCCATATTGAGCATACACAGCAATCACAAAGAAAGTCCATATTAAGCATACACAGCGATCACACAATATGGCGACAGCTTCCAGTGAGAGTGTTGACTAACACACCTACACTTGTAGCC